AAAGAATAAAAAAATCAGTAGAAAAAATAAATCAAGCAAAATCAACAACAGATACCAAGAAGTAGTTCTTTGAAAATAAAATTCAAAAATATTTAGCTATAATGACAAAGAAAAATGGAAGAGGACTCAAATTAGGAAAATCAGGAAATGAAATATATGCTTTCCTAGTGACCTTCTAGATATAAAAAGGATTGTGGGAAATACTAACAAATTAGATAACCCAGATGAAATAGACTAATTCCTAAAAAAGGACTATATTGAGAGAGGATACCCAGGAAGGGTGAGGTCTAGGAGAACAGAGGTCTTCTCAAAGAGACCCTAAGAATGCACCTGTGAGGTGCATAAAGACAGTTTTGCTATGGTCTTCCAGGGAAGAATTAAGCTTGTCACATAATGAGAATTTTCTAGGAAGTGAATTTCCTGTGGTGACTCAGCTCTTAGGAATTTGTAAAAAGTTAATTTCCTGGGACTTGGAGGCTGAAGCTTGCTTCTACTTCAGTGAAAGCCCACGATTCTGGAACCAGCTTCTCCAGCTTGATTGAAACTGATCAATGAGAAAGTCACCGGTGGCCCAGAACTTTTTGACTGGGGATAGAAAGGAGAATAAGGAGGGAATACAGCCATTTTGAAATCTTCTATGCCGTCTGCTACGCTGTCTGAAAGAACCCTTCCTCTTCTAAACACGGTGTTTGGGTGCTTTCTCTCCATTGGGCCTCCTTTTCCTGTGACAATATGACTAAAAGACAAACAAAACTGACTCAAGAAGAAATTGATAATCTGAATAGACCTGTAACAAACCAAAAAAATGAATGAATAAAGAAACTTCTCAAAAAGAAATTCTCTTGACCAGATCACTTCACCATGACTTCAACAATTAGACATGGTAGACTTCAACAGTTCTACCATGTTTAAAGAAATAACATCAATCCTTCAACACATTTTTCCAAAAAACAGGAGAAAATACTTCCAAACTTGCTCTTTAAAGCCAGAATTATCTTGATCCCCAAACCAGGCAAAGACGCAAGAAGAAAACTGTAGGCCAATATTCCTTATTAGGATAGGTGCAAAATTCCTCAACAAAATACTAGCAAACTGAACTGAGCAAGGTACAGGGAGGATTATACACCATGAGTAGGTAGGATTTATCCCAGAAGAGCAAGAACAGTACAACATCTGAAAATCAATTCATGTAAAACATCATATTATGTTATAAAATAAAACATTATGGTTAGTGAAAAAAGAACAAAACAAAAGACCACATACTGCATGATTCCATTTATGTGAAAAGACTAGAAAAGGCCAATGTGCAAAAACAGTGAGTAGAATCGTGGTGGCCAGAGGCCGAGAGTAGAGGGAAATGGACCGTGACTCCTGATGGGAATGGGATTTCCTTCTGGGGTGATGAAAGTGTTCCGGAACTAGTAGTGTTGATGGTTGCACAATCTTACAAATATACTAAAAAGTACCACATTTTATACTTCAAAGAGGTGAATTTTATTATATGTAAGTTATGTAGAATGCAAAAATTAAAAAAAAGAAGGATGCATGTTACATACACACAAATTTAGGGTTCGAGCTGGCAGGCTGAAAACAAACTTCCACCCTCCTTCTGTCTCAATGTCCCATTATAACAAAATGAGCAATTTTAAAGGATAAAAGCATAGCAGGGCTAGAAAATAAGAAAGGGAAGAAGCCGACAACAAAGACTGAGGAAATACTAGAAGACAGAAGGTAGACAGGATCAGTTAGAGGAAGGAGATTACTGAAAACCAAGTTAGCATCTTCGCAAGGAAGCCCTTAAAGAAGTTCCAACTTCAGTGGAAACTGACAGACAAGAGCGGGGGAGGGGCAGCTATGAAAGCAGCTAAAGAACTAATTACTTTCAGAAAAGTGGTACCAAGTCCCACCTTTTCCTTACCCAAAGATTCAGTAGTCGTTTTCACCCTGAGACTTGTCTTGTAAGAAAATTGGGCAAAGTATTTGGGATGAACCCTAGGAGTGTTGAGGCCTGAGAGTTATATTTTTGGAATTTCCCAGAGGCCCCAAGAAAAAAAATGGTGACCTTGCAATCGATAAGAGCACAGCAGGGAAAACTGTGGTAGGGAGTTAGATTACTATTCCATACGTGTTTAATTTGAGTGGATAAAGGAATGCCCAAATGTTTGGCTAAACATTATTTCTGAGTGTGTTTGTGAAGGTAACTCCAGGTGAGATTAGCATTTCTACCAGTAGCCTGAGGAAGGAACTGCACTCCATCAGGGGAGGGAATATTTACTCAGCATTCTCCAGAGAAACAAAGCTCAAGGAATGAATTGGATGACACCCACGACGGTAGTTAATTTTGTGTCAGTTTGACTGGCTGTGGGTTACCCAGCCAGTCTCTGCAAGGGTGTTTCCGGATAAGAGACTAGGATTTGAATGGGTGGACTCAGTAGATTGCCCTTTACAATGTAAGTAGGAATCATCCAATCCAGGGGTCCTCAAACTTTTTAAACAGGGCACCAGTTCACTGTCCCTAAGACCGTTGGAGGGCCAGCCCCGGGATGAGTTGGCTGCTAAGCAGGACAGGCAGCAGAGGCAAAAACACCCAGCGGGCCGGATAAATGTTCTAGGCAGGATGCATGAGGCCTGTGGGCTGTAGTTTGAGGATGCTTCTAATCCATCCAGGGCCTGCAGAGATAGCAAACTGTGGGACTTCCCAGCCTCCAAAATCACACCAGCTAATTCCTTATAACTAGTGCCTTTCTAGCTCTCACTCTCACCTTTTTTTACACCCTATTCATTCTATTTCTCTGGAGAACCCCAACTAACACAAGGCATGTTAATGTTCTTTCTTTGACAGGATCCTTTGTAAGGACGCATGGATAACTTTAAAGACAGATCGGTGGTCTGCTCGCACAACATCTAAATTTCTAAGCTGCTACTACATCTTATGCATGGATTGATCTAAACAGTTTCTGTATAAGCCTGGTAAAAAGTGTTTGATGTTTTTTATAAATGGTTTTCAATTCTGCAATGAAATCTTATTGACTGAAAACATCCATGTAATATAGCTATTCTGCTGGTACTATTTGACAGAGTGTGTTTCTATCAGAAGAGAACAATGGGTTTTGAAAACAAACAAGAATATAGAAAAAGAGATAAGGCTTTGTCTTTCTACACCACACGGGTGTTCAAGAGCTCCAGATTTAAGCATTGTGGAAATTTAGATTAATGCTACACTTGTGCTGTGGCCTTTTCATTAGATAGGAATCTCACATGAGGCCTACCATCCCCATATCCACCCTTTTATTTTCTAAAGACCATGAATTTGGAATACCCTCAAATAAAAAGACTCTAGAAAGGAAACAGTGAAAGAGAGTAAGTTTCAGTAAAGGACACATTCCCTTTACCTATTTGTGCACATGTGGGCATGTGCATTTCCATTTTCTCCTGGTAAGCGCCATAAAGAGGAGTGGCCTTTTATCATTCACCAGTGTATTTCTAGAATCTAACCTGTTAGCACTGTGGACACTTAAAGATTCTAACACTCACCATTTCTCTGGTCCGGCATCTGCTGATTCACAGCCAAGGCTCTAGATATTTATGTCGGTAAAGCTAATTTTCTTTTTGGTTTAACTCAGTAAGAACCAATTCAAAATAAAGAAGAAACACCAAGTAAAACATTTTCAGCAACTGAGGAATAGCAGGACAACCGTCACCTGGCATCTTATTTAACCTTTGGCCCTCGTATCATATTGTTTCCTTTCAAGAAAACCAAATCATTTGTTTTTAGATTAGAATATACAATTTGACATATTAAGGTTTTTCAAAATCTATTTCCCAAACAGGTCAACTTATGCTTATCAAACAAGTAGTTGAGCTCTTTCTATTTGAACTTACTTCTGCTTTTTTTTTTTTTTTTTTGCAGTTTTTGGCCAGAGCTGGTTTTGAACCCACCACCTACGGCCTATGGGGTCAGAGCCCTACTCCTTTGAGCCACAGGACCTGCCCCAAAATGTACACTCTTTATACTTGAATTTTTTTTTTAAATCTTCATCTGTAGAAAAGAAACACTGCCTACTACAAACGTCATTCTTGCTTTCTCATCAAATGAGGAAAAATTCTAGGATTTTAAACCTAGACAGGAATTCTAACAATCTTAGCCCAAGGTCTTTAGTCCCCAAGCCCAATGTAGTTCTGTCTGTCCACTTTCTCACTCCGCTAAATGCTGAAAAGCAATATAAACCTCAGGGAAGCCAGGTCAGCATTTCATTTCTATATAGTTGCATGTTAAAAATTGAGTAATTCTAAAAGTAGATATTATATGTGGGGAAAGAATGATGAGTTCAC